ATTTTATAGCGCCACTTAGAATGCATTTCTATAGAGCTAAAAGTACTTTATGAATAGCTACAGAAGTGTTTTCAATTGAAAGTATTTGAGGAAACAGTCGTTGGGTGGCCCTGTCTCGTTGCCTTCTCCGCTTAGCATTACACGATATATTTTATATTTAGTATGAGCAAACTATAAATCATTAGCTTCGCTTTTAGCCCTCCTGACTAAATTTATGTAAGCGCTGTTTAGAATGCATGCAAAAGTACTCTGGACAGCCTTAAATGTGTTTTCAATGCCTTTAGGGGGAAATCATCGTTGGGTGCCCCTGAGTTTTGAGAATAATAATAATAATAATAAAAAAAGACATCGCGCACATAAATTTTACTTTACGATATCTTCAGCTGTATCTTCTATTCAGCTGCATAGCGGGGGCCAGATTTTGCCTTTTTCCTGGGCGGAAAATTCTCGTCCTCCTTCACCAGTTTGGACAACATATTACGGAGTAAGACGTTGTTAATCTAAGCAAATAAGTCTGGTAGAGTCAAGAACCTATGCAAGCGGCTGGACGAACAATGTGACAGCAGCTGAGACAGCTTAACGTTAGAAGAATTCGAACTTGAAAACCAGGGCTGCCCTGTTGAAAACTTTACGGACGGTCCCGCAATCGCCTTTTGTTTTCTGGTCAAAACTAACGCAGCTAACCTTCGGTCAGTCGATTGACCTAGAAGCAATAATACCATCCTCCCATAGCAAGTGCTGCATTGTTCTTGTGAACGCGGTCGCTAAGCTTGAATATTCACGTCGGCGTCACGACGGCGTATTAAACCTGGTCGTTTGCGGTCATATCGAGCGTAAAGGTCAACAGTGGTTGTTGATGGCGAGCAATTATTGTGCAGTTGCGATGGGTTTTGTGGAGCAAGCGAGCCAGAAGCAGGAGCACACGTTACCTGCAGATTAGCCGGTGGTTATTTGGAGCAGATTCGTCGATTATTCTCGAATTTATAGCGCTTCGTGTGAAGGCGGCGTGGAGATGGTCTGTTTGTTTTGTAGCCAGCCTTTAATTCTTCTTTAGTGGATAGTACCTACAATTTCAAAACTCAACAAAATGCCGCTTAAACCGGCCAGGAAAGACAAGGATACGTTCAGTTAAAGGTATCTTAGCTTTGTTTTGTTATATTTTGACTTTTAGACTATTTTAGTCCATGGGAGTTTCGACGACTCATCGCAATAATTTGTCCATGTGGATATTAATATATTCATTCAGTGACACATACTACGTCTGGGCCGCCTGTGATTAGCCTTTATGGAAATTAAGAGATAACGTAAGCTGTAACTCAAAGCCAACATGACTTCTTTGTTTCCCTCAAACATTATCCCGTTTTAGAGTAAATTGTGCGATATTCCGTGGTGGTCCTGGTGTTCAGCGCCCGCTCAAGAATTTAAGCCGTAGTTAAGTTTCGCGTCTAAATGGTAATTAGCCATGGATAACAACTACAGGTAATTCATTTTCAAACACTTGAACTCCCTCCCAGATGCTTTACTTTAGAATTAACCTTGTATTTGTTGTTTTCCCAATAGATGTCGTAGGGAAGTTTATCTTTTCAAAAAGCGCGTGCATTTGCACGTAGATAAGATGATTATAACGGGAAAGTTCTCTAGTATTAGGCTCAGTATCCTAGCCTTTGAGTGAACGTGAGGTTGGGGTTGACCTTGTTATTACACAAACGAGTCCTTCCTTTTCCTATGGAAATTATGCTTTAAAAATACTAGTTAGCATAAGACAAAGCAGGAAGGGTTGTATCAAAGCCAGGTCAGCCTCGTTGGGAAAAAAAACTAAAAAGGCCTATTGACAAGCTTGCAAAAAAGTTTAACTTTCTTGCATATTATTACATGGGTGATTCACTTTGTTTTACCTGTGTGGTTTCATGATTGAAAAACGTCCTCAGTACAGAATTTCCATTTGGGCCACGGATTCTCACTGTTAAAGTGTTTTCATTTTCCAGAGGCTCTGGAGGTAGCCCCTCTCTTGCCTCACGTATTGCCTATAAAGATGAGAGTTTGTTTTAAATTTACTGGTGGTAATTGATATTTCTCTTGTATCAGACATTGAAGCACGAGCTTCAGAGTAAGCATAACAAGTGAATAAACACTAGTGTAACTAAGAAGCTGGAAGTGACCTAGTGTCATGTTCATCCCAAAGGAAAAGCATCTTATTTTTACTTGACATCCTAATATCTGAGAGCCTGGCATAGGTTAGGGGGCATCTCTAATTAACTACAATTTTCTCTAAATAGATGTAATTTTCTTTGCGCAAAAGATAACCAGAACCCGGTTTCTTAAAAGATGGTTAAGTTTAATCCAAGATTAAGGCATAACACAAAACGTTTCTCCAAGCAATGCAAGGCAAAGCAAAGCAAAACAGCTGAGTAATATTTTAACACTGCAACCAACTAAGGATCTTTTAAATCAATCTTTTTTGGTTTAGGATTCTTCCTTTCCAAGACTTTTTTTTTTTTACCTCAGCATTTCGGCGTTCTGCTTCTGCTCTATTTCTTTCTTCTTCGCTGAGCCCCTCGGCCTAAACACAGTGAGAGACAATACATTACTAGACTATTGGCTGCAATTTACTATATCGAGTAAGCTCATGTTAACATGAAAAAGTAAGATTTTAATTTGACCAGGGGTTTTCAGATAATGACAAGAAAAATCTGGCTGCTTTCTTAGCTGCTTTTTTAATTATGGCTCTTTAAGGTCAAGATTATTGTAATTAAGAAACTTTATTTAATTATTACAACTAAAAGGACCTGCTTGTCAAAATAGATGTAAATGGTTATTAAATTGTTATTCTTGCTGTTCTGTACTTTAATGATTTTGATTTTAAGTAAACTAAGTACTTAATTATCAAAGTAACACTGTCATAAATTACCTCTCTTTGTTGCCTCTCCTCTTCCCTCTGTCTCTCCTCTGCTCTCTGTCTCTCCTTATAAAAATGGATAAATCAAAAAAGATATAAACTTTATCCCTGATATCCTCTTTAATTGAAGTAAACAGAATGTTTTTGTTTGCATCGTTGTTGTGTTGTTGGTTTAATATTATTTTAGTGTTGAAAGCCTTTGTACTACTAGCTTAAGCTACTAACCCTTTCCTGGTCTTGTGCAAGACTTTCGTGATATTCTCGGTCTTGCTGTTCTCTTAATTCTCTATTTGTCCTAAGAAAACAATTTTATGCATATTTTAAGTTTATTTGTATTCTTAAACAAACCAACACAGGTATTCAATATTATTTAGAGAGCTTCCTTTCAAGTTGGGGGTCCTTTTGAGACTTGTATTCCTTGGAAACAAATTTTAAACTTTCTCTGGCTGGGAAGGCAAAAGGCTAGAATTCTGTAAAAGGCTGCTTTTTAAGCCCCCCCAAACCTCCCCCTCCCCTCCCCAATACAGTTAAGATCCATCTACTTACATGTATAGACAATAAGTTTTTTTTCTCTCAGTAGTCCACAATGCTAACTCGAAATGGCAGAAATGTGTGGTGAAGTGTGGTTTCCAAAGGGTAGTAAAGAAAAATCTCTGATATAAATTAGAATGTAATTTTTTTTCTTGTGTTGGGCACATTATTTTGTTACAAATTGAAGCATCTGTATTGTTTTACATAAAATATACATGTAGATGTGCAGGTTGCAGTTTAAGGTTGAACTGAATAGAGTATTTACCATAACATAATTCTTATAAGGTTTGATTCCTCATGGTCTTATGTGAATTACATTTTGAATTTAATAACAGAATATGTACCTTGCTTGCAGCTGAGTGTTTTGCACAGTCACAGCATTACAAATAAAGTTAACTACTTCTTGTGCAGATACTGAAAGAATAAATAAGCCAAAGAAATTAAAACTATCAAGACAAGATTTTGAATAGCAATTAACACATTTTGTAATAATTATTGTAACTTACTGAAAAAAAATAAATTAAGGATCAAGGCTTGTTTAAGATTTTCCTTTTAACCGAACGTTTGAAAGTTGGAAATAGAAGGTTAGACTTCCATAAACCATGCATATCATAATATAAACGGGAGTAATTTCTTTTATTGCACTGAGCATCTATTCTTGCACACATTGTCAGAGTCCTGTTACAGTGTGCTTGCATGGCATCTTGCAGAAAATTTTTACAAACTTAAAGCTCGGTAACTTTAATGCTTATACAATTTGCTGTAGCTTGTTTTGTTGCTGGGTGTCACATTAGAGACATAAATTAATGATGTAGAAAAAGTAGGCTGGTTAACAATGAAGGAAAGAGACATTTTTGAAGGTTAACTGCATTCTAACACTGCAAAATGATTCATTGCTCTACTAGAGAATTGCAGCTTTCAGGATAGTGCTGCACAGCAGTCGAATAGTCTTCCTTTTCTTATGAGAAATAGCACCAGTGAAAATTACTTCTGTCGTGAGACCTACTCTCTTCTTCCTCATATATCTTCCTCATATATGCTGACATTAAACCATTTAACCATGACTATGTTTTTTTCAAACGAGTGCACTTTGAAAATTAGTCATCGGCAATAATACCAATAATCAACAATGGTAACTCGTAACAAGAAAAAATCAGTAAAAAACTGTTATAGAATAACAAAAAGTAATGATAATTGTAGAATTGACACTTACAATCAGTCAGGGTGCGAGGGGTCATTTGCCTTCCAAAAGCATCATGGGTGATGGCAACAAGTACTGGTGCTCTTTGATGGCCTTGAAGAAGTGCTCTTTGGACTGTTTATGTTAAAAAAAAAAGAGTGGAGATGAGTTCTGATCCTTATTATAGGGGCACAATAATCAGTTTTGATGCTAATTGTACTGGGTATTATACAACACTAACTAAAATATTTAAAAACTAAGATATCGTATCATCTAACCACGTTTGTGGACTGCGATTGCTTATCGATTTTTTTATCTCGTAGCAACTAAAAATTGTTCTCTCATCTTTCAACTTACTTTCAAGGCTTTCTGGGCAATTGCCTATTGCCCAGAAGAAGATGTTGTTACATATACGAACCACTTCAGGGTCAGTCAGGATATTCCTAAAAAGAAAGGCAATTTTCAGCTTTTGTGTTTTAATTCAATTGACTTTGATGAATAACTGTCGATCAACATTTCAGATCATGTCAATTTTGGTTTATGGGATTCATGGTATAATTCCATATTTTCTTATTTGAGCGATCTCTGAAAAATTCTGACAATAAGCATATCTACTGTACATAGATTGAGCAAATTCTGCAGTTGTGACTGCAAACCAGCTTGCTTTCCCTTCTGGTCCAAACACTCCCTCTACAAAACACCTGTCTACTACAAGTATTATTTTTCTCTTATGAAGAAATTCCATGTACATGTACATACCTACAGAAATCTTCCTGGTGGATATCCGGGGAAGAAAATTCTGCAAAATACAGCACTAAGGGCACCATCTGCTGTGCAGCTTGTTGAACAATCTATCCAAAAGTATCATACATGTACTATTTTGTAAGGCTGAGCTGAAATAATGGAAACTGACAAGGGACCACAGATTTAGTCCAGGAAAGATTTGTTATAAATTAAGAGTACCACAAAAGGGGTATCTAGCGTACACCCTAGGATATTGTCTGATCATAACATTGTAATTACATTGCTGAGAATATTTGATAGCTCTATAATATTATTTAGTTGATGAAGGGGGTAACCCTCTACCATCAGGATTTATAACTTCCAGTAATTTTTTTAGTACACCACAATAGACTTACCAAAGGATATGGTGCGGTATAAATGATGGGATGTTGCCATCCAAAAACCTCATTAATCCATGCCAAGAACATCTCTGGTTGCACAGAAGAGAAAGCTGCAATATGAAATGAATAAAAGATAGTCAGACTGGCCCCTAAGCTTATACTAAGTGATCAACATTAAGAAATAGCCAGGTGATTGCTTTAAAGAGGTTGTAGTGGTACAAAAATCAAAGTAGATTGCAAAAATACAATATATTCATGGTTATTTTACTTTTTTTGATACAGTGTTGCAAAGAGAAAAAAAAGTACATGAATATCATTCACATTATCTTTGTGCCTGCTCAAACAAAGAGACTGATTGATCACTTATCATCACTTTAGGGCTGAACGTGGGCGGTGAATGGGTTGGACTCGTGAATACTGTGTGACAATTCTGTCCAACAATGGATTACATGAAAAGGTATTTCACCACTAATTTAATGTAGTTTTTCCTGTTTTTTTTTAACTACTCAAAGAAAGCGGACTTCTGTTGTTCATCAATGTGACAAGACCAAGTCTGGAATTCAGTCGACTGAACAGAAGGCTTATTAGAGAAGGTCATACTAATAGTAGTGGACTGCAGATTAATATACCACTTAAAAAAGCTATTGTTCTTACCAGCTAAGGTTTGGCTAGAAGGTTGTATTAACAATGGGCTTACATCCCCAACCTCAGGACCTTGTAGTTAAATAAAAAACAAAATGGTCATTTGTCATCAAAAAATAGCCAGAATCCTCATAATTCACATTAATAATAGTAATAATAATAATAGTAATGTTGTTGCTAATTGCTTATATCATGTAAGATTAAAACAGGCCATATTCTAGGTACAACTGTATCTCTCAAATGAACAATTACTGAACAACATAATTTTTAGCTCAGCTACACCTGTAGTTAACTTACCAGTAACCATTACTGAGGTGGGCAGGGCCACCATGTCTTCTGACACTGAAGGGAAAAAGAAAATCAAACATTTTCTCTAAGTATATTGATTTGAGTGGATGGCATTATTTCCTTAACTCTATTGGTACAAACATACTTGAAAATCAAAATAGGCTTATCAAACTATAAAACTTTGCCGAGAGCTTGAATTTACCTTGAATAGCAATTTGAGAGTGGCTGTTATCTGAATGTAAGGAGATATAAATAATCATATGATTAGACTACTCATTCCAACAATCACATTAATTTTATTAAGTACGTGACTAGATTTCTGGGAAAGTCTCATTGGAAAGAAGAACAATAGATAAAGGTATAAAGAGGTGTTTCCAACTGGAAAGTCTTAAAATAATAACATAAATGCCTGATTTCACACACTGTGTCTTCACTAATATTAGATATTTTTGTGTGACGGTCCCTCGATATATCACCACTTGTATTACAGTTGTACGCAGAAAATTCACATAGTCTGAGAATAACATGCTTGTCTTGTTTGACCAGTATTTCAAAGGGGTACTCCATAAAAACTTTAAATCTATCCTATCATCATATTGTGTAGTTCTAGAAAATACCCATATTCCCCCCGCAGAAGGGATTGAAAATTTCTGGGGGTTGGGGGGGGGGTCTCTCAAAGGCCTAAAAATTTAATTGAATGTATTAAGCTTGGTGGGTAGGGGGGGAAGGGAAAATCCCTTCCATGGAGGAGGTACAGTGTGTGAATAATTTTTGGTGTCACACATTTTATTGGTACAATGTAATGTTAAATTTTCTTGACTTTGTACTATTGTTGCATGCCATTTAATTCCTGGTTGTCTCACTCGATGAAATCTCGTATTTTTTGGAATCAACATTTTGTAGCCATTGCATGGCAGGGTTTGTACAGGTCATGGAAAACCTGGAAAGTCATGGAATTTAAGAATTTTATTTTGCAGGCCTGGAAAGTCATGGAGCATTGAAAGACGTGGAAAATTAAAGTTTTCTTTGTTAGTTTAGTTTCTGCATATGACAAAGCAAGGTCTATGTAAGATAGAGAAGAGTAATTAAACAGCGCAAATGACACGCATTCTGGTGGACACCAGAGTTTGTGTCTGTTGAACTTTTTATGGTCAAAAAATACCCCAAAATAAGGGAAATTTTGAAGAGTTTTGAAACTGACAACTAAACCTAAGGTCTTGAAGAACCTGAAAAGGTCATGGAAAAAGTCTTGGGAATTGAAGAGCTCAAAAGAGTATGAACCCTGCATGGAACAGTTATTAATTTTTATTACATACAGTTAGGTACATCTTTGTCTTTTTGTAGATATATGATATTGGTATGATGAAAAATTAATAAATAATAATAGAATCAAGCTTTAAGTTTACTTGTCCTAAGTACTCATTACTGAAGTTTGGGTTACTTAACCACTTTTTTTTTCTACAGTGTATGATGCATGGAATTGGCATCCACATAAACTGTCCCTTGAGTTTCAAGAGGAGGCATATTGATTTTACCATGCATGTATGCATGCATATTGATGTTACCATTCAGTTTGTTACCAAACAAAGTATCTGTACAGAAGCTGGAGTGTGGATTGAACGTTCAATACTCTTACCTTCACGGCTAGAGTGCGAATCCACAGATACCGTTGATGCAGGAGACCCTAGGTGGAACAGTCATGGTCATAAGCAATGAGGAGGTTGAGGTGGGTTTAAAACAAGAAGAATAATATTGATTGATTATGAACACGTCCTACTGAGAAAAATCAAGCAAAAAGTTTGCAAGTTTGAACCAGCCAACCATTATTATATACATGGAAACTGTACAGTACCCTATCCAGCATTCTGGATATAAAGTGTAAAAGATTATGTCAAGTCATACCTGGCAGTGATATTGGAGAAGGGTTGTCAACCTCCCAAGCAGGATGCAGTAGATCTGAACATTTAATGAAAGTGTCTTGTGAGGTGTGATTATTACCAAAAAAACTGAATGTATTATTTGTCTCGTTTTAGTCACCATGGTGATTGGGAAAAAATGAGACAACTAAAACTGTAACTTTGCTGAACTGCCATGTTCTGTTGTTCTGTGCTTGCAGTCTTCTTTAAAGTAAGATGATGAAACATTTAAGAAATGTTGTTTAGGCTCAATTTCCTTTACATAATCAACTTTGTCATGTTATTTTAAAGCCACGAGATATGTGACCAGCAGCTCTACAATCAACTAGATGTTTATTATAGTAGCAATAGTGACTTTTTCGTTCAGAAACATACCTTCCTCATCACTATCACGTGGTGTCGCCAGTCTTACAGAGGGTGCAGGTGCTGTGCTGCTAGTGCTGCCAGTGGTGGTGGGTGCGGTGATTGTTGTGGTGGGCATTGTAAGTGTACTGGTGATGGTGGCTGTGGTAAGTGTGATTGTAGGCATTGTAAGTGTACTGGTGGTGGTGGGTGTGGGAGGTGTTGTAGTGGTAGTAGTGATTGTGTTGGTGGTGGATGTTGGAAGTGTTGTAGTGGTAGTAGAGCTTGTGTTGGTGGATGGTGTAGTAACTGTTGTGGTGGGTGTTGTGAATGTACTGGTGGTGGATGTTGGAAGTGTTGTAGTGGTAGTAGTGCTTGTGTGGGTGGAAGGTGTTGTAAGTGTACTGGTGGTGGGTGTTGTAGGTAATGCAGTGGGTGTTGTGTCTTGGCCCGACAGGCTTTGAAGCAGATTCTGTAAGTTGACCTGCCGAAACAAAAATCCTGGGCTGGCTGATCCAGGTGAGGTCGCCTTTGGGAGAAAAGAAGAGGACACACAGTGAATTTGTTATTTCTAGCTTATGATAGCCTGTGTACAGACGTCCTCCCTCCATAGAAAAAAATGGGGAGAAGAGACATCTGTGAATCGCCGTCGTTATTCGTATACCGGTATACATTTGCCTAAATTGACAGTTGAAAAGATGTTGACAGATCAACACAACTCTGGACCCTTGTGCAGCATGTACGCAGTTATCAGATGTTCTCAACCTTTATAGCTAAGCTAGGTTCTAACTAGAATATCTAGTTAAAATGTCCTTAATAACGAGTAGAAGATTGATAGAGTTGGAAGATTCTAACACAGTCTTCGGTCTTTTTTTGTTAGCTAATAAAGTCGGTCCGTTACTGTGCATCGATTTCCTGTGGATTTTGGTTTGGCAGAATTTTGATCTCAGAAGCACTAGTGTTTACATTTCCAGTCGAGCATTTTATGATCCAGGATCGTTCACTTCTCTTCAGCAACAAATTACAAGAGCGTTACCTTTGCCTAATTTTAAGAGTCATGACCAACACATGTAGGCCAAAAATTGCCCTGGTGTCTGTACACAGGGTAGCTGAACATCTTCACGCAATGTCCAAGCTTAAATCCAGATATAAGATCTCTAATTAAGCGCTGAATTCTGTACATCCTTCTCTTGTTATTTTACAATAAAAAATCTCCTGATTTATGAGAGCTACTGAGGATGTCGAGGCACCAATACACATTGTGTATACAGACAAATTGCAACAATAAAAAGTGAATGGAAGGAAACTGAATATTTTTCCAAAATGAACTTACAGTGCTCGTTGAGACTGGAAGGGCATACTGTGGTCTTACGTATATCGGGCACTGTGACCGCCAGCAGGTCTTGACTTCACTTGCAGATGGGTTTTGGTTTGTCACCTGCACCAGCTTCCTCTTGTTCGACTCGTCACACGTCAAAAACTCAAACTGTGAGCAATCTCTGTTGAAACAACACATAGAACAAATTTTCAGATAGTGACAGTTTTGTAACACTGTACACATACTTCTTTCCTCCAACACTAGATTTTTTAGACCATTAAATTTATATTTGTTTGCCCTATGTGACAGAAAAGCTTTCAATTTCTGATCTCACTTAAATTGAACACAGCAATGAGCATGAGCAGTGTTTCTTGGCATTTTGGGGAGACTCGTAGACATTGTACTGTAGTATGTTATTGATGGCAGCCCTCAAAAACACATTTAACAAATATCTTATTGCTTCTGAAAAAAAGTTATCCGATTCATTTTTTCTTCCAAAAGGAATGATCATGCCATTTCTCTTCTTATCTATATCCTACCAATTTAGCTATCTCTACTAAAGGCCAATGTTCACCCAAGCATCTTTGCGTGCGATATACTCCAGAAAAAATGATCTTTTTAGCTTTGAAGCTGTCTTCAGTGTTTATAGAGTCATGCTTCAGCCAAGTGTGAAAAATGCGAACACTCTGCCCAATCAAAACACTGAATTTGACAAAAGAAGTGTTTCAAAACAAGAACACAAGCACGCAAAGCCACTAGGGTGAACATGGGCCTTACCCAATGCATGATAATCATTCTAATACAGCACCCTCAAAAACTTTTTATTTGTTCCAGCAGATGTCTTCTATTTATTCTTATAACAAATGATCATCCTCGACAAAAAACATGTACATCAAAAAATTTAATCTTGAAAAACTAAGACAAGCCGTCCCAAATCCTGGCACAAAATATCATTATGGAATGAGATAACAGGTAGAATGAGAGATGTCAAAATATGTGTATTAAACAAAAATTAATCGGTGTACTCTTTAAAAAATTAAAAGAAAAAGTTGATTACAGAATACCTTGATGCAAGAAATAAAATCGCGAAATCCTAAAAATCAACTTGCATTAATGAGATTTGTTTTTCTTGCTTTCGACTTTATAGCACATGTTCTTTCGTTTCTTTTCTCTTTGCTTTTACTTGTTATTATGTATTAGAATTAATTTGGCATGCCTCAACTAGCACTTTTGGCTGCACGTAATTTTGTGCCCAAAAATTTTCCTCGTTTTGTCTTGACTTATTGGATTTTGGTCAGTATACTACAAACAGGTGTATGTTCTTTAACCAAATATATCAATACTTAGTATTTACCTAATCAGTGGCTGGCAATTTTGTGTGTTCTGATTGTCTCTTATAACTCAGAATATCTATGGCTATTCACTGTTTTGTAAGAAAAAATGGTGTCTCTCATTCCTTGCTTAGTGAAAGCCATTATTCATTGCAAGATACAAAAATACTTTAAAACTCTCCAGCTGAACCAACTTGGAATTTAGCGTATATACTGTTAACCCCTTAAACCCTCGTGATATTAAAATCGAGATTCTCATTTACTGTCCCCATACAATCTAATAGAAGTAGTGGGGAGAATTTGTTGAAATGACAATTAGACTCCTCTTCCCTGATCACGCACTCAATTCTCATGACCACTATGTCTTCTAAAGCATCGATATTGTAAGGAGAAATTTAAGGCTGATCTATCTTAGGGCTTAAAGGGTTAATCATGTGGTTTCTGTACAAGGTAGTGTATAAAAGGTATCAGTCAAACTACAACGGCAATTTTCTTATAACATGCACGTAGGTTATTTCATGGGCGATGAATTCTGAGAATTGTCACCTACTGTACTATAGCATCATTTAAGTCGATGCTGTTTTATTGGTGCTTGTAAATATGGAAAGATTTTACTTACGTTACTGTTCTCAGATGCCCTTGGGCTTGAAACGCATACAGAATGGTCGTTCTGACTTCTTGGGACGTCATCCCGGTCCTGAATGCGACGCGAGCCTCGCGCTGCGCGTCGCGGATCGTACCTCTGGCCCTTCCACGTGGTACGTCATCTTCTGTTGGGTCGCCTAGGAGAATCACCACCCTGGAAAACTGTGCTCCTACGCTTGTGTAAGGACGCGATCGGTTTCGGCCTCTTCCTCGTGACGCTCCTCCTCTTGCACTAAAGAGCGGCCCGATATTTCTTATCGATGGAGGAGTTTGTAAGGTAGATCCGGTAGCCGCCGTGGTAGTAACCGAGGGGGTTGACGGATTTCCTGAAGCTGTTGAAGGCGTCGAAGCCCTAAACAGCCGATCAACCTCCCTGCTGACGTTCGGTTGGTTTAAGAGATTCAACAGTGCACGTAATCCCTGTACTGCGTTCGGATCCATCTTCGACGCGAATGAGTCCTTGCGTTACAATCATGTGGGTTTTATACGTTTTCCTGGCTAGTAACAACAGTTCCCTTTGTTGTGTAATCAATAAGTAACAAGTTAACTATTCAGGGAATAATTGAAACGTTCCGCCTTTCATTTGCGGTAGTTTCCTCTATTGTTCCAAACATTTCTATCACCAAGAAAAACGATCGACCTACGTTTTCAAATGAAAAAACAACAACAAAAGAAAAACTTGTGAGATGCAAACTTGACTTGTGACAAATGTGTTCGAAAGACAGTATGTTTATCTTTGAAAGATCTTTCATAAAGCGCAAAGTATCAATTGACAGCAAGCGCTCACGCATTATAAAGCGGCATAAACAAAGGCGCTAGCACGCACAGAGTTAACTGCACTCTTTTAAGAATATACTTTGCAAGAATATCGCGGCTGAAATGTGTGAAGTTTTAAGAATATTTTACAAATAAACCCAAGGCTGAGGTTTCGAAAAGGAAATAATTTACTGTGTGGAAATTTTTTTCTAGCCAACAAAACGTAAAAACCTGCCCGAAAATAGTTGACACCCAATTGCAGTCTTTATATCTAAAACGGAAATGTCATAAGATATAAAGTAAGAATAACGCAAGACTATTGTCAGCTTAAAATTGACAGAAAAACCAGAATATTCAGCCCGGGCCGGAAAAATAACATTCTTAAAAGGAGAAAAGAATGTGAAAACAATAACCTTGGTCCTCGTGCCTTTGCTTATACGCTTATACGCGTGGCCGAAAATCAAACTTCCAAAGTAAAAACATATGCACTCGTTAAGACCCGGTATATCTAATCGAACATTCGGTAACCCAACTCAACCGAACCCATTAACTTGTGTGAGAGAGATCTATGCAAAGTAAGTGGGGTTGTTCAGAAATGATTTCACAGTAAAGGTCGAACCCACTCGAGACGTAAACGTTATGTCGGTAGTTTCGAAAACGAAGCACTCGAAAACGAAGACCGAAGCACGAAGCACCCAAAACTCGAAAACGAAGCACCCAAATCTCGAAAACGAAGCACCCTATCTCGAAAACGAAGCACCCAAAACTCGAAAACGAAGACCTCTAAATCTCGAAAACGAAGCACCCTAGATCGAAAACGAAGCACCCAAAAACTCGAAACCGGTCTGTCCTTTATAAACACCAGTCCAATGCTAATACAGCAGGAATCAAGCACGATAACGAATTCTCCTGTTCCCCCCCCCCATAGAGCGTGGTCCCAGGCTGTTATCCTAGAACAAATTCTGCCTGGATCTGATCTGATCTGATCACGCAGTGTCACAGATATCCAATATGTTAGACTGCAAAACAATCGGTTTTTTTTCTCAAAATCAGTAAAGAAGTTGGTAAAGCGTGGCGTAAGAGTAATACGCGCGAGCCTCACACTCCGTTTTCAGCCTCGTTTCAGACCTTTTGTGTTACTGCTCACGCGTACTTGAATACGCCAAAATCTGCTGACGGACAGTTTTGAAGTCTACATAAACATGTATGTGTACCGAAAAAATGCATATTAAGGTAAGATGTATCAAGTATAGCGAGACTAATATTAAAATTAATACAGGATATCTTATCTAGAAACGTTCAGTGAAACAGTTGGTTATAAAACCTTGGGATGGATTTTGTGGACCTTTGGAGGTGCGGACGCATCCGCTGCCTCCACCCGATTCGGATTGCGTCATTTAAGACGTAAAGTTGCACTTATTAAACCTACAGTGGTTTCGAGTTTTCGTTTTCGAGATTTAGGGGTCTTCGTTTTCGAGTTTTGAGTGCTTCGTTTTCGAGTTTTGGGTGCTTCGTTTTCGAGTTTTGGGTGCTTCGTTTTCGAGATTTTGGGGTCTTCGTTTTCGAGTTTTTGGGTGCTTCGTTTTCGAGATTTTGGGGTCTTCGTTTTCGAGATAGGGTGCTTCGTTTTCGAGATAGGGTGCTTCGTTTTCGAGATTTGGGTGCTTCGTTTTCGAGTTTTGGGTGCTTCGTGCTTCGGTCTTCGTTTTCGAGTGCTTCGTTTTCGAACCTACCACGTTATGTCGCATCAGATACTCTCTGATCGGACTTGTCAAAAAAATATTTGCTTCATTTTGTTCCACCATCGGATACGATAGAAATTTAAAAAATCTTACCACGAGAGTAATTTTATCATTTCCTGTTAATTAAGAGGGTTGTTGCAAGGCCATTCTCTCTCGATCTCACATGGAGGTAATTAGCGAAAACTCACAAGTATTTCATTGACCTTCACAGCGGCACCGGCAGTGAAAGAAAAATATTCAGCCCCGGGATAGATAAATATTAAAAAAAGATTTTCAGTCGGTTAATTTTTTAGTGGGTTTTTGAGGACTTCGAGAGTTCGATTACATATACTGTTCCGGCATAAACGGCTACATGGCCGGTAACCGGTCAAGGTTTTCAAAACACTAAATTAATGCCCGGCATAGTAAATCGAACGTTCAAAAATCGAACTCAATCGAACTCAATCGAACTCAATCCGTGGATTGAGTTCGATTGAGTTCGGCAATCGAACGAAATCGAACACCACACTTTCAGTGAGTTCGATTTCCGAACAAATCGAATTCAATCGAACAAATCGAACTCAATCGAACTCAATCCGTCTGATTGTGTTCGATTGAGTTCGGAAACCGAACTCAATCGAACACAATTAAATGGATTTCGTTCGATTGGCTCTGGTGAACCTATACAAAGCAAGCCCAAATCAAGCCCGTCAAAGCAAGTTTTTCTTGCGCTTTTTTTACTATTTATTTAATAACACACATTTATATATATTCGCGAATCCCTTACAAACATCTTCACTTACCAAGTTATCGAAGCATTTACAGGCCACAGGGAAGCAACCAGTTCACGTTGAAGGTGACCTAATTGTCCGCGCTCGTTTGCAGTTCGGAAGACACGGCCTTTGTCGCCTATTTTCTTTAAAACCCTGAAAACTTCGCCATCCTTGACGTCAAAGCGGCATTCCTGGTAGCCTTTGACTATACATTTGAAGCTTACGATCCACAACGCATCTGAAGCCATTTCTGCGGAATTTCTTCGTTTACGAAAAACACGTGCGCTACACTCAGGGCTAAAGTGACTCGAGCTTCTAAGATCCGGTAATGGATTTTCAACGTCTGTTTTATAAATCACGAGTTCGAAAATCGAACGTTCGATTGGGTTCGATTGATTTTTTTTCTTTTCGGTGAGTTCGATTTCGTTCGATTGCCGAACTCAATCGAACTCAATCCACCGATTGAGTTCGATTGAGTGCGATTGAGTTCGATTGAAATTTAGTTCGATTGGGTTCGATTTACTATGCCGGGATTAATGGCTTAGCGTAAATCAAACACTAAACTTGAGATCTATAAAGCATTTCAGGATCGCTTGACTTTTCTTAATCGGCATATGATAGTTTAGATTAGCTGGATTTTTCCGATTTACTGAGAATATAGGATTTTTCCGATTTGATTTTTCCGATTTACTGAGAATATAGGACTGCTGGTGCTTTGAAAAGCTGACCGGTTACCGGCCATATAGCCACAGCGCGAATAATTGGAACCTTCATACGTAATACAAGACATTTCGCAAACGTAGTAGTGTGTTCAGACTACTGCGTTAACGAAATCTTTTGCTGCCAGGTACAGCGAAATGCCATGATTTGGACAAGGTTCCAGTGAGCGAATTCGCGCTTCCAACTGTGTACGCTGCATGTCTGTCAAGGGACAGCTAACTTCCCGTACTTGCACGTCATTGTTGGACCGGTTTTCGGGGGTCGGGCCATTCGGGTCCACTCCGAACTGATTTTCGTCGATGGATTCACCATCGATGACATCTCGTACGGCTGGATCGTCCGTTCCAAAACGCTGAAGCATTCCCCTGATGTACAGCTGTTGTGGAGTGGCATTTGCTTCAGAAGAAAGCTTGTGGTTGTTCCACGAACGTTTAAATGTTTCCAGGGCCTTGTTAATTAACGGGGTATAAACAAAATGTAAACAAAACAGCTGGTTTTCACTCGTGACAAAGTCGGGGTAACAATCAGAGTCGTAAAAGCACTTTAATATCACCTAGTGAAAATAACAAATCATAGTCATCAATTGGAGTCATCAGAATTTTATATCCTTCACAGTTCTGCTTATGATGTAGAAAACCAGATTAGGAGGAGTGGAAGGATATACCAGTCACAATGCTTGTTGCCTTGCTTTGTGATGGGTTTAGTTCTTTAGCTTCTGAGTGGAACTCTTAAAACTTATAGTTTTCACTAGATCGAAACTGAAGGAGTCGTACTTGGAGTAATTATACCCTATCTCAAGGCTCTACGCTCTTGATTATAGTTCTTACTCAGTCTGTATCCATCGCTAGTAAACCAGCCAATGTCGGTTCCTACGTACAAAATCGCCTCCCTTGTCTTTAAGGGATGAAAGGGAATACTCGATGGTTCCTTAATCGGTTGTTTTTTCTTGGAACTGTCTTGTAAATTTTGCAATGTGATATTCTTGTCCAAAAAAGGCATGATGTCGTTTTTTTCTGTTATTCGACCTCTAAAGTTTCGATTCCTCTTTTTTGTCCATGATTCCTTTTGCAGCCCCAAGCATCAGGGGCACCCAACGGCAATTTTCGGCAAAATATCTGTTCGGAAGACGATTTGAGAACTAGAATTTTCGGAGCATTTGTTGTAAAAATTTCTCGCTTGCCTGCCTCCCCTAGGATTTTCGAACATCTACAAGATGGTATAATTACCCATTTTTAACGGATTTTGACCCTAAAAAAGGCCACCCAGAATTTTCGGGAGCCTTTTTGAAAGTTTCTAGAAGATAAGTTTTATCCCTATAATTTTCGGATCACTGGACTTTAAGCTAGGAAATCCGAACAGATGAAAAGTTTTTAGGGGATAAAAATATGCCTATATCTACCGTTTGAATGCTAAAATACGCTCAACAATGCTTTGTTAAGTGGTTTTGAACCATATCCTCGTTGGGTGCCCC